CTTTAGCGACTCCAACACAGCCGTCTTCACCTCTGTGTACAGTGCCGACAGCGCCCCCAACGGTCAGGAGGTGAATCGATTCTGAAGGGCTCCCGCATCGATTATAAATTTTGCGTGTAATAACTGCGATGCATCGATTCTTCAATTATTTTACCCACCCCTAATATTTAGCATTAATCAGTAAAAAAATATAAATAATCACCGAGTCCGGGAGCGGCCATTTTTGCCCAAGTATAGTAACACCTCTCTCCTGACATCTTCTGGCAGTGACGTCACGCTGTAGTGACATCACCCTGAGCACTGCGCATGTGTTAACAAGGAAGTTCTCCTTCTTCTTCTAGATTGAAGAGTGGGAGCAGCGCCATCTCTCGACACTGAGTCTGATGGTTTGTGGATGTGCAGTGTGAGCAGGTAGATTGCATCACAGCGTTGGGCCGCACAGTGTGAGAACATGCATCGGAGCTGTGAACATCTAAACCCTGCGGATTAAAAATATCGCACAGTGTACGCCCGGCCTAAAAGGCGCTGGTGCGAAGCTAGCTGATCTGACAGGAAGAAAAATCTTCTGTAGAAGAACCAGAACAGACAGGGGATCCGTTCAAACAAGCAATAAATAAAATGCAGATTTGATTTCAGACCCCTTCGTCCCACAGGGCTTTAGACGGTTTGCTACCTTCTGGAGCTGTTTGATGATCTCTTCATCCTTGTTGAGATATGGCTTGTATGCAGTGTACACACCTGTGAGGAAATCACATGCAGAGCAGCTTAGAGGCAGAGAAGGAGCTACAAGCTCCGAACATAAGCGAGTACGGGATGTTTACCTGGTTTGGAGTCCAGAGTTTTGAGGTTTTTTAGTTTCTTGACTTTCATGTGCTTGGCCAGCTCTCCTGGGAGGGAACAGAGGGGAGGACGGATGGATGAGCAACACAACCATAACACCAAAGAAAGGAAACACGACCCAAACATCTTTCTAGTGTCACACCTTGATGATTTAGCCACCGTGTGCCTAAAACGCTGGCATATGCTAACTTTTAGGGACGCACGATATAATCTGCCCCCTATCGGTATCAGCCGGTATCGGCCTTAAAACTGAATATCGGACATCGGCCACCCCACCGATATTTAACCCGATATTTGATCAGCTTCTGAGTTTTTCTAAAGTCTAAAAAAATACTACTTCTTCCTCAAAAACGTCTTTTTTACAGACTTAAAAACTTCTAAAGACGAGGGAAAAAATATTGATACATTAAAATATCCCAATATCTTCATATGCTGATATATTGCCATTTAAAAACACCATATCAATCTCTTTTACTAATGAAATATTGCTATATGTCATCGTTATGCTACGAAATCCCCCGAAAATTCACCAAATGTTGCCATATTTTTATATGTTGATATATTGACGCGGTATCGATCTATTTTACTAACAAAATCTCACAAGAATTTGCAAAATATCACGAGAGTTTGTAACAGAACGATGAAATTTCACCAGATTTTGAAAGTAAAATAGATCGATACCGCGTTTTTAAAAATCTATTTGATATCAGCATATGAAAATATATTTGAGTTTATTATTTTTCAAAGTGTCAGAAATGGATAACAAAACTGCTATTTTCAATGACTACTTATTTTTGTCCAGCTTTAACATCGGTATCGATATCGGTTATCGGCTACATGAGTTTAAAAATATCGGCATATCGGATATCGGCCAAAATCCCAATATCGTGCATCCCTACTAACTTTCTATGTATTTTTTCAACGTTGGGCGAATACATAGCGTATTCCTAACGAGTCCAGAACTTATGTCCAACGACAGCCTAACTTATGCATAACGCACGGCGGCATAATGCTGAGGGGGGGAGCAATGTGCCCCGAGGCGCCTGGTCTGCATAAAAAGATGTCTTTGATCGCGGTATTAACCTAGCTGCTGTTTACCGCCAGCACCCAAAAAAAAAAAAACATTTTATAAAAAGAAAAACGAAAAAGAAGAGAAAGGTTTGCAGTCGCAGCAGATTAAGCTTCATGTCTGCTAGGAAGTACCCATAACTTATCCAACGGATGGCAGCTTTTCCGCCAGATTTTCCGTACGTCAGGCATACGCAGGTCTAAATCATCTCGGTGTGACAGAGGCTGGAGATCAGATCAGCGCCACAGATGCTTACCCGCTTGCTTCATGTCTCCGATGCGGATGATGTGCGGCCAGTGTTGCAGAGTCTTTGCAAAGAAGGGATTGGTCACTCCCAGAATCACTGACGGCCTTCAGGTTCATTCATTCATGACGACAAAACAGGATAATTTAATTCAAACATTTCTACTTCTTATTGGAGGTTTAGTAATGAGATTACATGGCCTCAGTGTTGTGTTACTGAATCATCTGATATATTATCTAACGCAGACGGACCTTTCTTTCAATGCAGCAATACGTCAATAAATTCAAATATTCTGGGCACCTTTTTGTTTAAGGGAAGTAAAGGCGATGAAAGACACTATGCATGTCCTTTTTTTAAATGGCACTGTGATGAAGGGTTGAAAACCAAAACCAAAGAGGTCGGCCACGTATTTCTCCATTGCTAAAAACAAGCTGTGTGCTGCAGAATGCGCTGCAATGCTGGTCCTACAGCTGTGATGTTAATCGCACGTTTGATACCATTCACCTATTCACTCACACTCACACAGTGATGGTGGCAAGCTACATTGTAGCCACAGCTGCCCTGGAACTAACTGACAGAAGCGAGGCTGCTGTACACTGGCGCCCTCTAACCACCATCAGTAGACAATGCAGGTTAAGTGTCTTGCTACCAATTAAAGCTACCAACAAGCAAGTCCAAACTTTGTAGTAGTATTAATCAGCAGGAAGGGGGGAGATCAGCTGGTTTTTCTCTGCCAATAGCAACACAAGGAGCATGATGGCTGCCAATGCATTTACAGGAGATTTAAACGTATTACGTCGTACTCAACCCTGGTGCAAGTCAGGGAGGAAGAGGGTTTCTGACGCAGGGAAAAAAATGTTGGGGGCGGGGCTTAAAATCTGTCCTTGTAGGATCAGGGATGGTTCCTTCGACACAGATGAACTGCAGCACATTTTGAGTTTATTTACTGCTTTTAGTAATGGAGGCTTCAGCTGCAACACTGAGCTGTATGGCTTTTGATTCCAGCTTCTTCAAATAAACCAATTAGCTGCATATTGATTCGTCTTTTGCTCATTAATTGTTTGTTGGCCCAAAGTAGATTGTTTTTCTTTCTATGAATAAAGACGGATTGATTTCATTTTTGACCTTCATGCCCTTGGGGATGCCCTGGTTTTCTCATTAGGCAGCAGCACATTAGTTCTGCGCCCCCCATCATGATGCGGCAGTACTGCGATGGCTTTGGTCAGAGCAGAAGGCAGTGCGGCTGTACTCACGGAGCCTGCGTCCTGGTGGTGTACTCCTTGAACTCGCTGTCATGGATGGTGAAGTACGGCCTGAAGTCGCTGCAGTAGCGCAGAGGAGAGATGCAGCTGCAGAGAGAAGGAGCACAGGTTCTTCTGTTAGTTCACCTCCAAATCAAAGACCTGCTGGAAAATCTGGCTTTACTAAAGCGACTGGAGGTGAATGTGGAACCGCCTCTGGATATGGTTCTGTCTAGTTCTAAGGAGAACTTTGAATATGCTGAAAAAAAATGGATGGGAAGATGTTTCCATCCATGAACTATCCATTTAGCAGCTAGCTAGCGCACGCAGATCAGTAATAAGCTTTAACACTAGAACTCCCAAGGCCGTCATTTGGACGGTTCTGAGATTTTAAAGGGAAAGAACTTTATTTAAATTAATCGCATTTTGTTCATGTTAACCAACTTCTCCTGGTTCTATATTTGCTTCATTTTCATGTGATTTTTTGTAACCATATGTATTTAAAAATACATATGGTTAATTTTACCTCAACCTCCCACAGCCATCATTTTGATGGCTCTATTAGGCCCCGTCCACACGAAGTCAAAACGAACACGAAACGCTGATATTTTCCAGAACGTTTGTCGTAAAGACGGGGACGTAAAATAAATGTGATCGTCCACAGGAATGCATGAAAACGCTGCAAAATGTATGCCAGGCCTGTAAGTGGCGCTGTGGTGCCAAAGCAAAAATAAGCGACGAAATGTTGGGCATGCGCACTAATATTTATACATGGTTGCCCTGCGGGTCCATTTTCGTGGTTCAGTCAAATTCAGGTGCTGAACTATGTGGTCGATATTGCTCTGTTCTTCCTGGAGATATTCCAGAAGAAGAAGATTCTGTTGTAAGCCCGACAGCAGGGTGAGTAGCATGAGCAGCAACCATTCAACACAGTACGGCCCCATTGTTGTTGTGATACTGTGTCGCGCATGCGTGTTTAGAGGCGACGCTATGACGCATGCGTGTAAAAAAAAAAAAATGCGGTTAGAGCTTAAAGATGGAAACGCGAAAACGGCGTTTCAAAATCTTCCCACTCTGAAGGCTGAATAAAAAAAAAGATCGTTTACAGACCCCCGAAACGCCGGCTTCGTATGGATGAGAGGCTGGTTTGGTGAAAAATTTGTGCGTTTAGGCCAGGGTTTGGCTTCGTGTGGACGGGGCCTTAGTTGCTTTGTAAATTCTTCCTGCAGTTGATTAACGTTGGTACCGTTGCCTTGCAAACAACATTCTCCCTAGTACTCTTTGACCAACACAGAAAAATGACTTGCAGAAGAAATGTAACCGCAAAACAGGCTTTAGAAATGCCCCAAAATATTGATGATAGCAATTGGGGTGGAGATGCAGAGACTGATGAAGAGGACTGGATAGGAAGCTGCTCAGATTCTGACAATGAATCCGAGGATGATCACCCACCCACGGGAAACATCAGTGACCCATCAGATAGTAGTAAAACCTTTGTTCAAGGCTTGGATAGCACTGCCCATACCCAGGTTCACTCAGAGTCCAAAAAGCCAAACCAGAGCCGCTGGTCTACTACAATCACACACAGGTTGGCATGGATGTGTAGGATCAGATGATTAGAAAGTATTCTGTAAAAGCTCCAAGGTGTCCTGTGGCTGTATTCTACCATCTCCTGGACATAGCAGCTGTAAACGTGTTGGTTTTGTTCAGGAGCTGTTTGAACGTTACTGTTGGAAAAATTATGTATAAGATACTTAATGTTTGTTCTTATGATGTATAATTAGTGACATATTACTGTTCCAGAGAGGTGATGCACAAGCACTATAGGTCAACTATCAGGAAGTATTGCTCAAGGTTAACGAAACCAGACGGTTCTTGGACCATTTCACCGCAAGACATTTAAATGCAAATTGACCTGTTCACTGAGGCTGCAAATTGAATTGTATTTCTTGTTTCCTATTTCTTTAGCGCAACCTTAGCTTGTGTAACTAGGGATCCCCCCTCTGACTTTAATAAATAGCGAGGAGTAAGGTGAAGACTGTGAATTGTCACTGTGCCTTCTTTCTTTCCCTGTATGTATGTATGATGTTTTAGGTGCTTAGACCTGACAGTTACCGTCTCAAGCAGAGATTTTATCCTTGAACTGATCAAACAGTTGCGTGCAAACCGCAGGTTACGGCCCCTCCCATGCAGTGGAGCCAGCTTTGGCGAGGAGAAGAAGACAGCGCCAGGTGCTTCAGTGCTGCACAAGAAAACGCTAATATGATGTTTGTCATAAATGTGAAAAGGTGATGTGGGGGAAATGTTCGGGGGGGATCGATCAATTTCTGTAAATAAAATTGAAAATTTGAACCTGTGTGGTAAAACAGTGTATACTGATTTATTTTTAATACAAATTTAGACCACAAATAAAAATAGCGTACAATACAGCCTTTAAAAGATATATATTAGACCTGTTTTAAAGGTTTACATTTCCACAATGGGTTTAAATCGCACACTAGGAGCATTTCAGTTGATGACATCATCACTAGTCATGCGTTCCATTGCGTCAAATTGACGGCCAGTGGGAGGTCTAGTAGGATCAGAGCTCTGGGAGTCCTAGTGTTAATGACTGTGACATCAGGCAGGGTGAACCCTTCATCACATCCGTGTCGCTGATCATTCATTTCATCCAGATGTGTGCTCAGATGTGTGCATCAAATGCTTCATAATGACCTCACCTGACCAACGCCAGCACGGTGTCCGCCGACTCAGCTGGCGACGGCGCCATGACAACAAGGGCCTCCCCTAACAACACCAACTCCCAAAGCATCTGGATGTGGAAGAAGACCGGGTGGAAGCACCTGGAAGAGGAAACCAGGATCAGACACCTAATACGGATCCTCCATCCAAACACAGATGCCCCGTTTGCTGCCGTAGGAGGAAACCGGAGGATTTCTCATTGACTTCCTTACTCCTTTAAGCAAGGCATAGAGTGTACGATTTTTTCAATTGTTGCACACAGCTACAGCTCGAACTGTATGATGAAACCCTGCGGTTTCGTTGGAAAGCGCAATCGAAAAATTCTCGCATGACTCGAAAATCAGCCCAAAATAACAACAAAATATACAGCATACGCCCCGCTTTAGCTGGCTGTAACAATCACCATGGGTACCATTCATCACAGCTTCCTCCTCTGCAGCTTTAGCACCATTTTCTGTTCATTTGATCAGATCAGCCATGTGATGCTAAATAATCTGGTTATCTGTACTTTTACTGAAGGATCCAACAGGTCAGCGACCTGGCTGAAGGACTTCCTTCCCTTCCACAGTCAGCTGCAGTACCCCCACTGGGCAGCAGATGGAGCCACAGACTCACCTGAACAGGTCCACTTCATGGATGGTTGGCAGCACGATGGAAACTAGACTGTCGCTCTGAAAGCATGAAATAGTTCAGCGTAATGTGTGAAACGACATGACTGAAAGGCTGAAACAGGACTGACCGGTGGGGCCGTTTACCTGGGTAGACTGGACCAACTGGGAGGTTCCTGGTTTATCGTAGCAGGTTGGGATACGAACCTGATAAGATAAAAATAAAAACTAAGATCCAATAAACAACGGTTAAAAAATGCAGCATCAGATGAAGAAACAGAAAACTGAAAGCAGATCCATGCTTGTTTTCTCTGCGGCCAAGTGGATAATTTGCCTTAAATTAAATGACAAACATGACTGAATAAATGATCAAAGGAAAATCAGCTACTCTCAGAGAGCCGTGAATAATAACAATGACAGCCTTTTTCCTCATCCCATCTCTACAACTACTCCTCATCATTCAAGTCTGGTCTGAATCGGTTTGCTGTCTCTGCTGAGGGACTACCTTAATGACGACGCCCATTATCGGCAGAGTCAGGACTCGTCCAGGATGAGGCGGCGGCCAGCGGTCCATGTCGTTACAAGCTGTCGAAAGAGAAGAGCAAAAAGAGATAAAACCAGGACCCTCCAACGGCTCCCGGTCAGTTCTGCTGACTTCCACTGGTTCCGTCCATGAAAACTCATTCAGATTAACAAACGATAACAGGCCATCAGGATGGGACGGTTATGGATAAAAACAGGAACATTTCAGAAACCAGCAGAGGAAGCTACCAGAAAACTGAGGTTTGGTTTCCTACACAACCCTGTTTGTTGGATTTTACTAGACAGACCAACAGGAAGTGGAAGATGACTGAAATGGAGGGAAAATTCTCTTTAAAGTGTTAGAGGTGTTTGTATTCCAGCCCTTTATGTGGAAGGAGGCGGTTTCCTCTGGTGGTGCAGGTTTCCTGGGTGGGTTAGGGTTGAAGGTCTGTTAGATAACATCCAGCATCATGGAGGCTCAGAGACACAGCAGAACATCTCCCTCAGATGGACCAGCTGCAGGCCCCCCCGAACCAGAAGGGATCCAAATAGAGCCACTCCCCTCAGGCGCATCACTGCAGCTGTTCGGCCAGAGACGTCATCAATGCCGGTGATTGAGACGCCCGGTCGTCATCAATCACTGCTAGGAAGTGTGTTGGTGGTGGGCGTGAACGCAGGGAGGATCCATCACTCACCTTCTGGCTCACCCTATGATGGGGATGAAGTCTGGAGGAGAACTGACGGTTTCCTCCTGTGAACCCCCTTTATACCAAAACGCTGCCAATACGCCATTATACAGTAGCTGGAAGGTAGAAACACGTTCAGCGCTCGTCTGGAACACGTCAGATACGATGATATGCGTTGGAGAGAAGTTCTGGATAAGTTATGCATCAGTTATGCACGACTTACTCATAGGTTTTGGATAAGCTGGAGGCCACGACTTATGAGTAACTAACACTTAATGTATGTCAACGTTTAAATAAGTTACCTGTAACTTATGGCCCATATATGGCATATGTCAGTAAATTTTAAATTTAGAGTTTCTCGATGTACTCGCCGTATGTCGACGTGTGTCAGCATGTTTCAGCATAACTTATACACAACGTACCCATAACTTATTCAATATGCCAGTGTTTTTTGCCAGATTTTTCAGAAGTCAGACATACGCTGGTCTAAATCGTCAAGGTGTAAAGGGGGCTTTAGGGCCAATGAAGATGTCTCTGGATGTTTTGATTCTCAGACCCTCAGCAGGAGGAGCTGTTGCTTGTCCTCCATGTTTTTCCCCACAGAAGAAATGTTTCCAAGTGATCCAGACTGATGTTTTGCAAACAGAGTAATTTGTCAATTGTTTCTTCGGTTAATAATTGGAGAGCCAATGGTTGCTTAAAGAAAACTTTTTCACAAAATCAAACCAGGTGAAACTAAAACGTTACCACTTGAGGACGCTGGATGGAGCACAATGACGGAAGAAAAATTGTTTTTTTCATCTTAAATGCAAAATGTTGGTACATATTTTTTTACAACTTGGTATAATAGTTACTACTCTAAGTGGGTCACTCTGTCAGCATGTTTTAGAGTCAGTATCCCCAATACTCGTATAACCTATTACTAAATTAGTTGAGGATTATTTCAATAATGAATTAATCCGATTGTTTTAACCCCAATTCAAATCTAGTTTTTCACTAAATGACATTTGTTGTTACTTAGAAGCAATTGTCCATTTTGTTAGGCTGCCACATATATATATATATATATATATATATATATATATACTCACCGGCCACTTTATTAGGTACCCCATGCTAGTAACGGGTTGGACCCCCTTTTTCCTTCAGAACTG